GATGTCGAAGGGGATTTGTACAAACATGGAATGTCTCCATTTTATAGTAGATGGATTTTTCATGGAGAAACAGTAGATTTGTCTACTTATATGATGCGTAATGAAAACACCACACAAAATGTAGATCGTGCAAATGAAATTGGTGAAATGTTGAATGATTTGACAAGTGAGGTATATCATGGTCAAGATAACTCAATTGAGATTGGATCAAGTGACAATAGGCAAAGTGGAAGTAATAAGTTTCAATCAATGTTTGAGGAAGTTAACCAAGAACTATACCSTGGATGTACATCATTTTCCTCATTAACATTYTTGGTTAAGTTAATGCATATTAAAGTACTTAATCATTGGAGCAATAAGTCATTTGATATGTTATTGCAACTACTCAAGGAAGCTCTTCCAAATGGTTCTAAAATTCCAGAATCTTCTTATGGTGCAAAAAAGATGTTGCGTGATTTAGGTTTAGGATATGAAAGTATACATGCTTGCAAGAATGACTGTATGCTATTTTAGAAAGAAAATGCACAAGTAGACAGATGTCCGCAATGCAATGAATATCGTTACAAAACAAAAAACAGTAAAGGAAAAAAATTCCACAAAAAATACTGAGACATTTCCCATTAAAGCCGAGATTGGAAAGATTATTTCAGTCAAAACATACGGCAAGAGACATGAGATGGCACAAGGAGAAGAGGAAGAACATAGAAGGAGTTCTAAGACATCCAGCAGATGCAGAGACATGGAAACATTTTGATAAACAATATGCATGGTTTGCAGAAGATCCAAGAAATGTAAGATTAGCATTGGCTACTGATGGATTCAATCCATATGGCATCATGGGTACGACTTACAGCACGTGGCCTGTAATGTTAATTCCATACAACTTGCCACCTTGGAAATGTATGAAAGAAGCATATATCTTCATGTCCTTACTCATACCAGGACCAAAGGCTCCAGGAAAGGATATAGATATTTACTTATAACCATTGATCGATGAATTGAAAGATTTGTGGAGTATCGGCTTTGAGACATATGATGCCTGCAGTGGTCAGAACTTTCGACTCCATGCAGCTTTGATATGGACAATCAATGACTTCCCGGCAAATGGCAATTTGTCGGGATGGAGTACGAAAGGATACAAAGCATGTCCAGTTTGTAACGAAGATATTACATCTGATCCATTGCATAGTAAAATATGTTATATGGGGCATCGTCGATTCTTGCATAAAGATCATCCTTGGCGTAAGAGTAAACAATACAATGGAGAAGCAGAATATAGACCTGCACCACGTTATTTTTCTGGATTTGATGTCCTTCACCAATTAGAATCTATAGATTTTCCACCACTTGGTAAAACTGTAAACCTCTTACAATGGAAAAGAAAGCGATCGCATGATAAAGTAAATTGGGTGAAGAAAAGTATATTTTTTGAGTTACCATATTGGTTTAATCTTAAGATTTGACACAAACTTGATGTTATGCATATCGAGAAAAATATTTGTGATAATGTAATGGGCACGCTGTTAAACATCGAAGGGAAAACGAAGGACACTGATAAWGCACGTAGAGATTTGATGAGGTTGAACATCCGTAAAGAGCTGCATCTTCAACAGGTCAGGAACAAATGGGTGAAGCCACATGCGAGCTACACTCTAACAGTAGATGAAAGAAAGAAATTTTGTAGCTTCTTGAAAACGGTAAAATTTCCCGATAGTTTTGCATCAAACATATCGAGATGTGTTAGTGGTAAAGATGGCCAGATATATGGACTAAAAAGTCACGACTCACATGTCTTGTTGCAAAGACTTTTACCAGTGGGGGTTCGACCCTTTTTGCCCAAAGATGTGAGGTCTGCAATTTCAGAATTGTCAGATTTCTTCAAAGATTTAAATAGCGAAAACTTTAAAAGTTGAGACTTTGAGTAAGCTACAAGAAGCAATCGTATTGATTTTATGTAAGTTCGAGAGAATATTCCCTCAATCCTTTTTTGATATCATGGTTCATCTAGCTGTCCACTTACCAGAAGAAGCTAAACTTGTTGGACCTGTCGGTTATAGCTGGATGTATCCAATAGAGAGGTACGATATGTTTAGCATTTTGCTATCTAGTTTTTAATATATTTATTTATATGGTCACAATAATTCTTATTCATAGGAGATTGATGACATTGAAACAATATGTAAGTAATAAAGCGCGACCTGAAAGATCGATAGCAGAAGCATTCATTGCGAATGAATCGTTAACATTTTGTTCGATGTACATGAATGGAATTGAAACAAAGTTCAATAGGCCAGTTCGGAATAATGATCTGCGAGATTTGAATAACTCTAATGGATGTTTGTCTGTGTTTTCACAAAATGCACGTCCAATTGGTGGTTCAAAAATGAAACAATTATCGCATACTGAGTTACAAAAGCTCATTGGTATGTCTTAAGTAATTGCGAAGCAGTTGATGAATACAGACGGTATGATCTTTTATACATTTACACAATTATTCTTACTTAAAAAATCTATTAATTGTTCAAATCATTGGGTAGAGAGCACGAAATGGAGCTTCAACATGGAAATAGTGGTAATCTCACCAGACTTCACGAGATCTTATTCYCRKAATGGTTTAAAAGAAAAGTKAGTTCTCTRGATTACAGTTGAAACCTGATTTGATGARATTATATTCACCAATTGTTTCTTTAAAAATCTTTCTTCAGATGCAATCTCAAGTTTGTTCAGCATCAAATGAAGTTGTGCATGAGTTGTATACACTAGCATGTGGCCCAGAACGTCGAGTAAACTCGTATCATGGATGTGTTTCTAATGGGGTTCGATTCAACACAATTGAGCGGGATAGTYGTTGTACAACTCAAAATAGTGGAGTGTGTATATTTGGTGGAGATGATAATGAGAGATCCGACTTCTACGGTATTATTACGGAAGTTATTGAATTGAAGTACATTAAAGAGAAACGAGTTCTTCTATTTATGTGTGATTGGTATGACACAAATCCTAAGAAGAATTATGTTCGTAAGGATAATAATTTTATAAGCATAGACACGCGTAACCTAGGGTATAAGGACGACCCATTTATACTTGTTTCTCAAGCACAACAAGTATTTTATGTCGATGATCTCCAGTTAGGTAATGGATGGAAAGTAGCTCAGAGAATTCAACATAGACATTTATGGGATGTGCCTGAAGTAGAAGAGATTGATTTATGCGAAGTCAATATCAATCAATGTGTAGTGGATGAAGTGAATCTCGAAACACAAACATTTCATAGAGCAGATGTAGACCCAAGTGTAATATCCGACAATAATGGTACGTTTGAGATAGTATTAGATTTTGATGAAGCTGAAAACGAAATTGAGGATGAGGATGAAGATGAATATGAAGATACAACATCGTCGGATGAAATCGATGACTTTGATATTGACGAGTACTCCGATATGGTATATTATATTTTTTTGTATGCTTATAATTTATGATTCATACTAATCCTAACAATTTGTTTTGTTTCTTGTTCAATCTTTGCAGTCATAATGTCATCGGACAGTGAAGGTGATGAAATCATTGYCGGACTCACGCGAGGTCGTGYTGAAACTCGTGGTGAGTTCTTAACAAGAGTTGTCGAGCGTGCTGGAAAAATCAAACTCKAATGGACAAAGGAACAAGRGAGACCTGTTGCAATTGGATCARCTTCATTCAATAGTGAAATTGGTTACCTGACCCGCAACATGATCGATGTAAAATACGCAAAAAAGAAAGACATACCGAGGAATGATTTTCACATGATCATTGAAACATTATTGGTAACTATTTTTTCTTATTTTATAATTGTTGTATTTCATTAATCAAATATGATGTTAACTAGTATTATTTGGTACGTTTGCAKAATSATTTTAATATTGATATATCTCAGCACCATGTTTATCAATATATCGTGTATGAGATTGGAACTCGATTTAAAGATTATCGAGCGAGGTTACATCAGTACTATATGAAATTTARGGATCCARCACGTGCTCGCCAGAAACCCTATCGAGACATTAAACCCGAGGACTGGAATGTTTTATGCGATAGATGGGAATCTCCAGCATGGAAGGTAATTACAATATGATGTTGATTCAAAGTTACCATTTTTATAAATAAAATCTTGAAACTATATATTTATTTTTGTARGAGAARTCTGCAAAAAATAAATTAGCRCKTAGKAAATTGAGATTCAACCATCGAGGTGGACCGAAGCCATTTCAGTGTCATCGAGAAGATAAGGTGTRAACATAWCATTTATTTGAATTATCCTGGTTCTATATTTCAAGTTCTTATTTTTCTTACTATGATTTAATAATCTCTTGGAATAGAAAAAAGAAGATGGGACATATTTAAGTCCCATTCAARTATTCTACGAGACACATTATTCSGTGGAAAAAGATTGGATTAACCTGGAAGCCAAAGCTGCTTATGTAAGTATTTGTTTAATGTTTTAGTACATTGATATAGGATATATTTCAAAATTCCTTACGATACCATTKTTTTTTTTAGGAAGAAATGATTACATTACAAGCCTATCATGCTTCTTACGGACCACCACAAACGGACCAAGAAATTATGACGATGGTGCTTGGAAAAAGATCAAATTACATAATAGGAATGAGATATGGACCAAAACCTCCCAAAAGTCAAGCATCATCGCAATACTCAGAGGACTACGTCCAATCATTGGAGTCTCGCCTAGCAAGAACCGAGGAAGCATTAGCGACTCAGTAACAAGAGACTCAACAGCAACTTGAATCTCAACAGCAGGAGACACAACAACAATTAGAGAGAACATTGGCAGCTGAACGACAAGCGACTGAACAATGGCTAGAAAGGCAACGCCAAGAGTTTGAAATGAAACCTGAAGTATGTATGATGTTTTGAATTTATTTATGTTTGAAATCATGATAAAGAGGAGGGTGGGGGGGTGGCTGAGGAGGGAGTATGGTTTAAAGAGTGTTCTCCGTGTTCTATCTTATGATTTATGTATGTCTGAAGTATGTTATGATTAAGTAAGTGCATAAGTTCTTGAATAGTTCTTGATAGATTTTGTGATAGTTGCTTATGTCATTTGTTTTTTATTATTCTCGGGTTTGAATGAGGAAAACATATATATTTTTGTGGTTCAATTTTATGAAATTAGTTGGATTTTTGAGTTTTTGTTCTATATATGTTTATTTGACAAATGAGGTGTGTTTATAAAATTGGTTTAGTATGTTTGTTTAATTTTGTCTATTAGTGTAGGCTTTAATACTTGTACTACAATAATAGTTGATGCAATTCTTTGAACAGGATTGATGCAACGATATATGGTGGAAACATATTTTGTAACCTTGGCTCGATTGGAGGGAAAATGTTATTTCTAAATTTAGGTAGACATTTCGTTGTTTTAATTTTCAGAAATTTCATTCTATATGTACGTACTCTAATTGAATTGTTTTTATTTGCAGAAACTTGTATATGTTTTCAATGACATATATTGTTTAATGAAATTCATATTATTATCTAAGTAATTTAGCAAGTTGAATGTTTTAAATTTAGCGACGAATTTTGATGTCGATTAAACATTTGTGTTTACATTTGCATAATAAGGAGAATTAGAATGAAAGAAGAAGGAAAACTGGGGAAAATATGGTCAGAATGCGACGAAGGCATTTTCGTCGCAGAAGGGCAAATGTGACGCAAATGATTTTCGTCGCATATGCGACGAAAATGGCCTTCGTCGCATATGCGACGAAAATGGTATTCGTCGCAGATGCGACGAAACGTTGAGTTTCGTCGCCAATATGCGACGAACGCGCGTTTTCGTCGCTTTACCTCTTTAGCGACTCAGTTTTAGCGACGAAAATTGCGACGAAAATTTTTTCGTCGCTCATGTTCTTCAGCGACAAAAATTTCTTTTTGGCGACGAAAATTTTTCGTCGCTGAAACCCCTGATTGTTGTAGTGTGTGCCTCTTTAATTCATGTACATGTTGAATTTTAGATTTTATTGAGGTGGTTGGTAGTAGATAATGTATGTCTTTAACTAGTTGAATTATGTTTAAGTTATACTTTGTAGCGAATAGTTTGAAGTAGTTTTGTTATATATATTTTAGTACAAAATAATTTTTAAATAATAAATTACTTTGGTGTTTAATTAGTTTTTATAGTAAAATTTGTCTACTACAAATGTAGATAGGAATCTGGGTTGAAAATAATATGGAGCCAAAAAGTCAGTGTTAAAAAGGGAAATGAGTTACTGGGCGTAGAGAGGTAAGAAACCCAACAGCCTATTTCATCAAGTTTCTTTCCCTACCCATTGTCTTAAAATAAATATACAGAGAACAAGTATAAATCTGGTATCAATTTATCTTCCCTATCTTTTTATTGTTCTTATTGCCTGAGGTTTCGGTTGATTTATCTGAGCTTAGTTTTGATTTTATTTAATTTTATTATAATTGGAAGAAAAACTTGATATGTCATTATTTAACATGTATTGTCTAGAACTCATGATAAAGACGACGATGATGCTTGAGAAWTCATGAAATAACCAAATATAATAATAATTGTTATGCAATGGAAACCGAAAGTCGAGGTACAGGTGAAGATCGGAAGGAAGCCACTGGGCTGCGATGGGCTCGGTCCCGACCCGGGGCTCGGTCCCGACCCGTGGCTCGGCCCCGACCCGTGGCACGGCCCACGGCCCTCCACCGGCCCTTCGTCTTCCTTCCACGTTTTCGCCCAGGCTCTCCAACGAAATTAGGGTTAGCTACCTATGGAATGTTCTGGAACAACCTGGCGACTATAAGTAGCGATCCAGCCTTAGAGGTAAAGGCATCTAAAACTAGCKACATTTCACATTATCCTCCTGCTAACTTAGGCATCGGAGCCCGTGTGACTAGTGTCGCACCGGTTTAGCTCATCTGGTTTTGCAAGTACTAGTCCCGGATCAACAAGTTTGGTAGGTGCGAGGAGGAGAACCGGAGGACCGAAATCCACGCATCAACAATTGGCGCCGTCTGTGGGGAAGACTTAAAGCATCCAGTTGAGCAACATGACACCAAAGAGGAGTCCACGACGCTCTGATGATGACTGCTCTGCCAAGAGGAAGCTGAACTTGGGCGACCCCCAGGTTGGAGGACCCGAGGATGGGACCAGCAAGCCAAACCAAGAGCGTCAGGAGGGTTGCCCGAGGTGCAGGCATTAATGACCCCTGAGCCATTCCAAAAGCAGTTCGCGGTCTTGGAAGACAAGGTAGAGGGCATGCTTCAACGCATGACCCAAGTCCTTCGACAATTCGAGCGACAGGAGTCCGACGAAGTGCCCCTTGTCAGAGACCCGAAAAAGGGGAAGGGCCCAGCGGAAAGCGATACCGAGGAGTCAACGAACAGTGTAGGGAGCAAGTTGCGGATAGGTGGAAATACCAGGCGACGAACCCGAATTTTCGACCATCGAAAGACGAAAAAGCAACATAAATCCCCGGCACCAAATGGAGGCAAGAGCGACCATGATGACAGAAACTCTGAACCGATAAGTCTCGACAAAGGCAAACCGGCAGATCGGCCAGAGTCCTCGGAGAAGCGACATAG